TGCATTCTAGTTGTTCTAATAATGCTTCCATTATATTAAAATTTTCCTTTTTCTCAATACAACATTTGTGAACATTTTGTTTACAGTACAGCACTTAACATCAAGATAATAATAACAGGCAGACGCTTTCCTTCTATGCTTTTCTGATAGCATCTCTAAGCCGCAATTATTTGATAACGATCAATAATTTTGTGATGTTCTTTTCTTTGTTTCTCTCGTATAGGTACTGTGAGGTGCTGTAGCAAAATTCGAGTGTTCTGTGAAAACACATCTGAAATAAATTTCTCAAGAGACAAAAAGCTCTTGAAATTTTAGTCTCCTTGTGGACAGTTAGCTGAACAACAAGCCATTTGATTCTATGTTCAAACAGAATAGTGTGGATCTAGTTCTTTACTTCTGAAGCAGCTCGGAACAAACTTAATACCTTGAGTCAACTTACTGATGCACATTGTAAAAACATAGTCACTTCTTTTTTGAGTGACGGCAATCTTTGCAAACAATCTGTTTTTATTGGAAAGTACCAGCCTGCTTCACACGTATATTGTTTCATCGCTTCGGCTTAACTTTCACTTCGGAAGGCTTTATTTTCATTGTTTGACGAAACAAATTGGAGTTTATCTTTCCGTAAGTTGGAAACACAGTCTATGTGGTTTACATTAGGGTTTCTGCCGTATGTGTACAGCTAGTACACACAGTATAAGGTCTATCGAAATATGACGGCACAAAGACCTTATACTCTGGTTAGACGGTAGTTATTAAGCTTTTGTTCGTTGTCCTACCTAAAACCACGCCTACACCCTGCCGAGGAGCTTCAAAACAAGGCCCAGATAAGGCCTAACCTCGAGTGCTGCTCACATATTTGGGGTGCTGCCGCCCCCACTACATTATCCATGCTCAATGCTATTCAGCGGAGGGCTATGTGACTGATCTATGACTCTTCTCTAACGGATAGTTTCGGGACCCTTTCGCACCGGCAGACCGTCGGCTTTCTCGCTCTCTTCTACCACTATGCAGATGGACTTTGCTCCTCAGAGCACACCACCATGACCGTGTCGAACCTTGCACATCTAAGAACTGGCCGATAAAACCGCTCCTTTGTCCCTACTGTATCAAGACTGTGGTCGATCTACATCTCACCTCATAGCAGCCGCTATGCTCTGGCGTTTAGGCTTCTGCCTGCGCATCAGCTTCAGTGTACAAAGAGTGTAACGAGAAAATTATGTGCCGGTACTCGGCTTTCAATTATTTGGGTATACAATTTGATGGGCACTTGAATTGAGATAAGCAGATAGCAAATCTTTGAAGCTTTTTCTCTCAAAAGAAAAGACTACGCCAGTCGCACGATGTATTTGTTCTTCCTCATAGATTATCATTGACCGCCAAAGGGCCCGCAGTTATGGTAATAAGACTTAGTCGTTTCCAAATTTCACAAAGCTTATAACCAACTCGCGTCTTTTCAACAACCTGCCATTTATTGATTTACCTCTCGTGCCTGTAAAGTGTATTCATTTGAAAACCTCCCACCACAGATTTATCGCAAACCACTGATTAAAAGAAAAAGACGCCGAGACACGTCAAAAAATTTGTGATAGGGGACAAATTTTTAACCAAAAATTACTTCACCACCTTTCACCCTCGGCCCCAAAGGGTCATTCCATTAAAAATTTTAATCGAGTGATAGCTTGTTTGAAAGGTCTTTCGAAGTCCTTTATTTTGACGTTTGATATTGTGATATTATAAAAATCCTTATTTATCTTAATTTTTTCTGATAGAAAACAAAAACACACGAAAATATCACTTTTTATTTCAATAAGTGTTCAAAATGTTGTCCGTCAGAGCTTGCCAAATCTACAATTCGTTTATAATTTAAAACGGAAACTACCAACATAAACAGCAATTCGGAAGATTAGGCATGGCAACAACCAAATAACAACCCGAATTTCATTCAGGATTCTTTTCCTCAACAAAAATATCCTTGGTGAACTGTATTTATTGTTATACCTGTTTATTCATTTGTTGCTAAGGGAAAGAAAGAATTTAATTTGCTGTCAGTTACCTTTGTGACAATCTTGGGATAGTGAAAATTAATTTACTGATTCAGGTTCTACTTCCAAAATGGTTTAAACACTAGCCGAAAGAGTGGAAATGATTCTAATTTATGGTGCCCAAATTCAATGTGCTCGACAAACTGCCGTCACGTGTAACGCCAGACATTCGGGGAAGGTAATTGCGCATCGGTCTGTTTTGGTCCTTGTTACTACATTTACTCAAACTGGATCTGTTGCAAATAAAAAACGTGATCATCGGAGAGTTTTTGATGTAGCCGCTCAAGTTGAAGTTTTGGGACATTTTGAAATAAATCCTAATACTTCATTATGCAAAATTGTTGCTGAAACAGGTATTTCATTAGGCTCTGTACACACAGTTACTAAACTCATGCTTCTGTAGAATACCCCCGAAGAATTAATGTATGGGCAGGCATTTTAGGAAACAAAGTGATTGATACATTTATTTGGATATGTTGAAAAATACCATCAATCCGCTTATCACTAGAACCATTGAAAACCAAATCGAAGAGGATGAAAACCCTATACTTGATGAGGCTCAAACATATATCCAGTAAGACGGTGCTCCTCCTCACTATGTTCTTCCGGTTTGGCAATGGCTAGACGACGAGTTTCCATATAAATGGACGGGGCGAAGAGGGTCTATAGAATGGCCTGCTAGATCTCCTGATTTGATGCCACTTGACGTACTCCCCAACCGGATGAACTTCGTCAACGCATCATCGAAAGCTGCCATTATATCCAACATCATGTTTTTGAAAATGTCCGTCAGGAATTTGAATATCGCCTATATCATTGTTTGGCCTTTAACGGGCAACATTTGGACACTTATTGAAATAAAAAGTGTCTGAACAAATTAAGATAAATACAGATTTTTCTAAATTTCTTGAAAACGAATCAGCTGATTTAAAAAAATCAATCGTCTAAATGAAGGACATCGAAAGACCTTTCAAACCAGCTATTACTCGATACCCCTTGTCATTTAAACTTTTTGAGGGGATGACCCTGGGAAGCAGGGTGTAGTAGTTTTTGGTTTAAAAGTTGTCCCCCTTGGCAAAGCTTTTGACGCGCTTGGCGTTTTTTCTTTTAATCAGGGGATTTCGATAAATCCGTGGTGAGAAGTTTTCAAATGACTGTATTTTCGTTGTTTGACAAATTTTTGAGGTAACGCCGAAGCTTTTTATTTTTTAATGGTCATTTATTTAATGCAGGAGCAGAGACTATTCGTTAAGCAACTAAATATCTTTCTTTATGATAATTCCGATACTACCATTGTATAGTCGCATGGAAAATCAATGTAGTTATTTACTTTATAAACTTCTCAAACGGTTGTAATGTTTGCTTTGCTCTACCTCTAAATTAATATAGACACAGCTCGATGAAATGTGTCTATACAGGGTGTTTCAGAAAGACGCCAATATTCCTAGGGTAAAAAGTATATCTATAGTGCCGGGATTTTTTGGCATATTTATTTTTGCTTATAGATAAATAAAACATATTTAAAAAAAATAAAGCTAATAAGAATTAAACACGACAACAATAAACATTACAATACTTGGTACAACTTACGTGGTTATTTCTAAATTTATGGGGACATACCATTTGGAACAAAAAATAATGCTGAATAAATGCTAGATTTTACCTAAAGGAGGCGTTGGAAGTGACTCTTTGGAAAATACCTGGCGTAATTGTATAGTATACTTACAGAGTTGAAAGCCTTCTGTATTGTTAGAAACACGGATAGTCAAACAGTAATTTTCCACCAATCAACTTGTATTAATAACAATAATAATAGCACAACGATTTAACGTAATTTCGGAGCGACAGATTATCGGAGCACGATGTGCACTGCTCGACGTTACAGCTCACTCTGCCAGGGTCGGCGGCCGATCGTCGCTCCCTCAGCTATCAGAGCAGTAACCATACAGCAGTACCCCTTCGTGACCGGCAAAATTTTTCGTTTCTTACACGGCCTTCCTGACAGCTGCGACGTTCTCGACGCCCTCTGCACCACAGGCCGAATCAGTGAATCAAAAGCATATGCAAAACACTCAGTGTACTTACCGCAACTATTACCTCACAAATATGATTCAAATCTGAATCAAGCACTACCGGTACTAAGACCAACATTCACAATTCGATTACAGAAAAATCAATTAAGTAAACCTTTAATAGTGACGGCGACGACCGTCTCATTAAAATAACAACTCTAAAACTTCAGTACAAGTAGCTCTTCTACTAACAAGACAGAGACCAATCTTACAATATCCCTGAAGACATCAGCCTTCAGCTGACTCTGCTACTGATGAGACAGGGACCAAAATAACAGTATCCCTGAAGACCTCAGCCTTCAGCTGGCTCTGCTACTGATGAGTCAGGGACCAAAATAACAGTATCCCTGCAGACCTCAGCCTTCAGCTGGCTCTGCCGCTGACGAGACAGAGACCAGAATAACAATATCCCTGAAGACATCAGCCTTCAGCAGGCTCTGCCGCTGACGAGACAGAGACCAAAATAACAGTATCCCTGAAGACGTCAGCCTTCAGCTGGCTCTGCTGCTGACGAGACAGAGACCAAAATAACAGCATCCCTGAAGACCTCAGCTTTCAGCTGGCTCTGCTGCTGACGAGACCGAGACCAAAATAACAGCATCCCTTAAGACGTCACCGTTCAGCTGGCTCTGATGCTGACGACAGAGACCAAAATAACAGTATCTCTGAAGACGTCAGCCTTCAGCTGGCTCTGCCGCTGACGAGACAGAGACCAAAATAACAGTATCCCTGAAAACCTCAGCCTTCAGCTGGCTCTACTACTAACGAGACAGAGACCAGGTTGCAGTTTCCATGGAGATCTCGGCCTCCATTTAGATCTACTTCTGACGAGATGGAGACCAACATTAAGAAAGACAGCACATCGCAAAATGGAACCAGAAATTTACTGACGTGGTACTTCCTCAGCCTCCAAAAACTCAAGTATATCTCCCATATCAACATTGGAGGACCACTGTACAGGCCATGATCTTAGCTGTTCCTTAGCTGCATTTGTTATGATGGTTGTTTCAACCTTCTTAATCTTATAACGTCCATTTTCCAGGCACTTAACCACTTCATAAGGACCAAGAAACTCATAGTCGCCCTTGCTTATGTGCATCTGAGAGTCCCGGTGCATCAGCACAAAATCACCGAGTGAAAATTGCACTTTTTCCCTTCTTTTTTTGTTCACAGTATTATAATTTTGTGCGACGAATAGCCTTTTCGCTAATCGCCGTCGATCCAAATCTTAGTTGCGCAAAGGGGTTAGATCCTTAGACACATACTTCAACACAGCTTGTATCATCGGAGTCGAGCTTCGGATACCCAAAAGCAGCATTTATGGATTTTTGCATAGTCGAATTGAGAACAAGTTGGATCTTCCATAGTCCGTTCGGCCATTCTGTCCTTATTTGGGTTTCAACTCTCATAAGATTCCTAATGGTTCGCATATAGCGTTCCACCTGCCCATTTCTCCTATGCACATCTGGAGTTACAAAATGGTACTCGATGCCCATCGATCCAGGTACTTTGGAAACGTGGTGTTCTTAAATGACGTGGCAGCGTCCATTATTATTCGTTTGGGAGTTCCAAACAGCACTAGAACATTATGCAGCTTTTCACGCGCTTCTGCAGTTGTCACAGACTTCATAGGAGTCAAAATGCAGTACTTAGTAAAAGCATCCACCACTACCAAAGCGTGCTTATAACCATCAGTTGAAGCTGGTAAAGGACCCAAACAGTCCATGTACAACGTATGAAATGGCTCCTTCGGTATGCGCACTGATCGTATGAACCCCTGTAGAGGACCTGTTCTTGTCTTTTTTACTGCACAAGTTACTCAGTGCTTGACGTAGCATTTGATGAAGTTTCTCAACCTCGGAAACCAAAAATGTTGAGCGATAGACTCGCATGTCTTTTCGGATCCCACTTAACACTGCTCATCATGGAAAATGCGCAGTAGGCCTAAACGACTTTGCCTAGGAACGAACCATTGCAAATTTGTCGTACCATCTGCATTTACCTGCTTGTGATAAAGCAGTTCATCCTTTTTATTGGCGGCTAGTCGGTAAGGAGTACGATAGACGACAATATCCTTTCCAAGACGAATTTTCAGGCTGACATCATTCACTGCACCAACTTTATTGCCTGTTGTAATCATGCCACTAAAATCTTGCAGTATAACTTCAAGACCTACGCGATGTTCTTCATGTACTTCAACTTCTGTGACTAAAGCAAAAAAATCTTCTGAAACGCGATTTATGCCAGGCAGCTGATGTCGCACAACGCATGATCCTTGATGATCTGTTACGGTGGCGAGACTTTCATCTTCAAAAATATTACGCCCCACCAAAACATCATAATCGGGACACTCGCCGGAAACAAAAATAAAACACATCGGAATATCAACACCAGAAATTTTCGCACAACCCGTAAACTTCTTTGTAGCGTTAATTGTAACGTTAGCTAATCCTTTCAAAATAACATTGCAGCTAACAACCTTATTATCAAATAAGTAGAGGAACTTATCAATGATAAATCAGCTCCAGTATCAACTAAACAGAAAAAATTATAACCATCAATTAATATTTCGGCGGACCCAACTGGTTTTCACCTAGAACAAAATTTTATGTTGTGACGTTTATCAATAGCAGCTTTGGTAAAGCAATTCGATACGCTGTGACCTTTCTTAGCACAAAAACTATAAATTTCAGAACTATGAGATGTGCTTGGTAAGTCACGCTGACCTATGGAATTATATCTGTCGTCTGATACCAATTTAGTTTTCTTCACACAATTCGCTTTAACGTGTCCAGATTTTCCGCACTGGAAACACTTCTTAGAGTTTTTAACAAAACCACCTATTTGCCTGTCAACAGATGAATACTTCCTTTTGAGAGAAGAAGAATCACTTTCGGCTATATTTTGTCTGTCATTGCACGAAGGCTTAACAAAAGGTGACAAGAAAACCAATAATTCAGAAATAGTTCTGCAGTTAGCATTCATCGCAGCATTGCGCACCTCTAGTTCAGAGATTCGGTAAGCAATGAGTTCGACCAAATCATTTTCGCACCAATTTGCACGTACATTTTTAAGCACAGATTATTTCTCATGCACATAGCTTTCATATGTGTTGACAAAAGAACTGTTAAATTTTGCTGCCTCCTCCAACAAACGACTCAAATTTCTTTTATGAGGAAGTCAACTCGAAAAGTAGCCCAATCCCTGTTGCCAGAGTTTGAACGTCAGACCATCCAACTTCATGTTTGATGACTTCAATTTGACTTACCCATTTAATGGATTCGTTTATTTCGGGTCTAAAATAGGGCAAATCTACCTGTTCTGCCGACCTTTGGGACTGCATGCCTTTACCAATTCTGCTACCAGCGACTGGGTGTGGTTTTCGTCTGTTGAAGCCATCGTTAAATTGAGTTTCCTTATCAAGAACACCAAGACTTGATCCAAACACACAACGCAGCACAGTCTTCTTTTTTAAACTATGACGCAGCAATCACAACGATGTACCGTTATCCTTCGTTCTCACAAGACAAAGAAAATGTCAATGTTTTCAAAATAAATCACAATCCACTGTGGTTGTCTGGGCACAATCCCGCTTCTGATGTTAGAAACACGGACATGCAAACACTAATTTTCCACCCATCAACTTGTATTAACAACAATAATAATAGCACAACGATTTAACGTAATTTAGGAGCGGCCGATTATCCAAGAACGATGTGCACTGCTCGACGTTACAGCTCGCTCTGCCAGGGTCGGCGGCCGATCGTCGCTCCCTCAGCTATCAGAGCAGTAACCACACAGCAGTACCCCTTCGTGACCGGCAGCGGCTCGCCAAAATTTGTCGTTTCTTACAGTATACTTCGTCCTCATACTTTGCTTCCGAGGTTTCTAACGATCTGTGATATCTTCTTTATTGAGCTCACTTGGTCCGAAGTGCTAAAGAATTTTCAGAAAAAGGCCGATTATTTCAGAAGTAAAGTAATAAGAATTTAATTCAAATTGATTGGTTCCACAATTACTAGTTGTGACTTTGGGCAAACAGAAGGATCTAACATAAGTAATACCAGGAGAAGTATACCATGGAAATCAGTGGCGTGCATAGACAAGATTTAATGAACGGTAAGCTATTATGCTACTAATTGAGGATAAGTCACGCATACTATTCAATTAATGTTCTAACAAAGTGCCATAGTTTTCTTCACATGCCATATAGGTAGTCTTTCCAATATCAAGTTTCACGGTGTTTTCAGAATACGGGAAGGTAAACCCTTTCATATGAATATTTTAGGATTGTTTCTCAAATATTCAGACTTAAATATCTCCAAAACGAGTGATCTGAAAAAATTCCTCAAAAGACAAAATTTATGAAAAATATAGAATGCACTTCATTTATTTTTCGAAAAGGCCAATGGTTTAGAACATATTTACTATTATGGGTCCAGGTACCCTAGCGTTTACGTCTCTGGTTTATTCTCGACCGGGAAAATTTGTGTGTTTATTGCTGAATGTCTAAAATGCTAAGCTTCATCACTCCGTATCTCCGTAAGGGAACATCTTTGGCCCTACATTTATAGGAACCTTTACATTATTTTTGGATCTACTTACTACCCTAGAAATATTGGCACTTCTTTCTAAAGCACCCCTATTTTGTCGGTATTAGTCTTCTGTATAGTCCTACAGCAATGTTTCATGCTATATCTATATCAGAATGTCATAAAATGTGAAAATTCTGTCGTAGTCTATAGCAGGAAGACAGCAGAGCGGTCAGAATCAATTCACCCACAATCGGAAAAATCCTTTCTTTTATTGAACGTCATATTGTGCGCTGCGTCGTACCTCTAATAAACTGAAGGATCGCTCCTGGGATAAGGATTTTATTACCATCCCCTTCGCTGCTATTGCACATATATATAACCACCCATCTATAAACACTCGCACGTAATTGCCTCGTATATGCATACTGATACAAAGTAGTTATTTTAGATTCGTGAACAGTGCACTAAATGAAAGGCTCTGCGCAATAAGGTACCTAACCTCATAGAGTATATATTGACCCTATTCCACTGTAGCCCTACTTATATTTGCAGTTTATCCAAGATCTGCTTTAAGGTACAACTTTCATAGGAATCACCCTCAACATCGCCGCAAATCCCATGAAGTCTCACTAAAATAATCACGTATTTGAGCTTGATTTGTTAACTCTAGGATAGTTTAGTTGACATAACGTTTCTCATTGCAACTGTGTGGTGGCTGTAAAAATCTATCAAATCATTTCGCATTTCATGAAATGCATCTCTATATAGGGTTGTTTGATGGATTTATTCCAAAATCACTTAAATTTTTTCCTGACATTATTTGAGATGGGATTTCAAAATAAATTGCATATTGTCGTTGCTACTTATCCTCCTCTACATTAATTTTCATTTCGTCATTTTTTGTTTCGACTTCCATCACCATCATTCATATGAACACTATATTGTAATTTTGTACATTTAAATGGACCTTTCAGTTCTAAATTCAGCGATGTATTTCCTTAGTTGGCCATGAATCTGTTGTCGGATGAAAATTATGAGGAAATAAAAAGGTATGGTGAAACCTGAACACAGCATGAAAATCTTATTGCTGGTAGTAACAATAATAATTATAAATAATCAGAGGTAAATCATACCAGATATTCAAAATGTTGGTTATTTTATAGGCAAAGTCTGACTGTTCTCTGTCCATTGTTCACTGCTCGATTAACTACGTTACTGTGTTCAATTTGAGCTCTGGTCTGGTATACGAAACAAATGAAATAAAGATAACTGCAAGGCCTACCTAGGAAATTACCTTTCTCTAGAATAACTAAGGGTTGGCAATGTCAATGTACGAGATATTATATATTTTTGAAATCAAAATTAAAAACACTATTGATAACAAACATACAGAAGACTAATACCGAAAAAATAAATGGTATTTTAGAAAGACGTGCCAATATTTTTAGGGTATAAACTACATCCAAAAATAACGTAAAAGTTTCTATAAATATAGGTGCAAAGACGATCCCCTACAGAGGTATACTTTATCTGAAGTCACTTGAAACACTGTGAAATACCGGGTGCGTTTTATATATCTATATTTAACGCGCTCTGTTGCTGCAAAAATCGCCAAATTTCGCAGCAAATATCCCCCGTATAAGATCAAAGGCAGTTTCACCGGTCCACGTGGAGTAAAGCACGCCTATGCGTGGACATAGCCAATGAGAAAGCGTGTATTTCAGAGCTCTGAACGAATGCAGGTGGCTACTGAAAACTGAAACAGTTTAGCCAGTGCCGTGTAGCGGTGAATAAACGTGTTTTCTTTAGTCTGTCCGTGTTTTTTCATAGATTTTATTAGTTTGTGTGTTTTTGACTTTTGAATACTCAGTTTACTTGTTGATTTAATTGTTGTGTTGATTGTTCTTGTGTGTCCTAAATATGGCTCTTTGGAGACCTTGGGAAAATGCTCCAAGCCACGAGGAGATGGTTGATGAACCTGTGCAGGCAGAATTCTTTCATAAAGATTTAGAGGAACAGACCCAGAGTAATCCTAAATATGTATGATTGTCTGGAAAACGAAAATCCAGATTCCTCGCAAAATCAAATTTTAAACAGAATTTGTATCCTGACAAAAATCAGTCGGTCTACCATTTATCGGGTTATAAAAAGGGGAGATGTAGTCAACCATTCCTTCCACAGAAAGCGCATAGGGCAAAAATTAAAAAGAAAAGGCGTGGGTTTTCAGGAAGATATTCGTCGTATAATATACGGATTTTATAAAGAAAATTTGGTGCCCACGTTGGAAATGATACGGGATAAATTAAAAGATTATCCTGAAGATTTTTATAATTACAAATGCTTAGACTCACTGCACTGTATTGTAAAACTGTGTGGTTTTCAATACAAAAAATTAGATAAAAGAATGGTGATTATGGAGTCGTCTCGAATCGTTGAATTGCGCCAAGAATTTTTGCACAAAGTTAAAATCTATAGAGAGCAGAAAAGAAATCTGATTTACCTGGATGAAACGTGGTATGATACCCATGATGTTGTGCAGTACGGCTGGGTTGACGAAAGCAACAAGTGCATTTTAAATGCACCATGCAACCGTGGAAAACGAATCATTATTCTCCATGCTGGCAGTGAAAATGGATTTATACCTAATGCCTTGCTGTTATCTGCCAAAAATATCAAAGAATCATGTGCCGACTATCATGAGGACATGACCTCCAACTTATTTGAAAAGTGGATAGAGCAGCAGTTAATACCAAACATTTCCCCAAATTCAGTGATTATTATGGACAATGCGCCATACCATTCCAGACAGAAAAACAAAATTCCGAATACAGGCACAAAAAAACAAGACATTATTGATTTTATGAAGGATAAGGGAATGGATATACCACAAAAATCAACCAAAGCCATATTATTGGATCTTATTAAAAGACAAAAATTTGAAAAAGAGTATGTTGTTGACAATCTGCTCCAGCAAAATGGCCATGCAGTATTACGTCTACCTCCCTATTACTGCATTTTTAACCCGATTGAGTTGGTCTGGGCTGCTTTAAAAAAAAAGTAAGAAAACATAATCAGACCCCTCAATTAAGTGAATCGCTATTGGCCACAATAAGAGATGCAGTATCTCATATTGCTGCCACAGACCTATGGAAGCAGTGTTCTAGGCATATTATTGAAAAAGAAAATGAATATTGTGTTTTGCCTCCTGTAAATCCCGTTGTAATTCCTCTACAAGATGACTCTAGCGACAGCTCCGAAGGCGAGGATGATATATAAATACCTATAATGTAAGTCTTTATATACCTTTTTATATACCTACCTGCTATGTAAATATTTGCCTATGTCAAACGTTGGAATTCTGTAATTTTTCCATTTCTTAGCTTTCAGTCAACATAAATTAAACTCCCAATATAAGTATTTTTTATCCCAAATCAAAAAAATAAGAAGATAGTAAAATCCATTTATTGTGATATAAAAACATTA